TTTTTTTTTTTTTTTTTAGGTTTAAATTGTCCTATCTTTGGCCAGAGAGTATCTGTCTCTCAGGTTGGCTTTTTAATACTCTCCCTTTGACAGCTTCCTTGCTTTCTATTATGAACAAATGTCCCAGGCTAACCTTGCCTGAGTTGTGACACAGAAGGAGGAAGAGACCTAGGCCAGTAGGTCTTTACAGCTGTGAGCTCCTTGAGGGCAAAATGCAGGTCTCCTCTCTCTAATGTTTCCTCCATGGAACCTGTCTGGCACAGGGTTAGGCACAGGGTAGACTCCTAAATGACTGTGGCTCGCCAGGTAGGCAGGCACAGAAAAGGCTGAGATCTAGAAGCTTGACAAGTTACCTGCCTGCCTGGAAATGCTGGGGCCCTTCTCCCTGCAGAGACTAGCAAAACAAAGCTTGGTGCCTCAATCCCTAACCCCCTTGTTTTCCCTTCTCTTCATCTTCATTCTCCTCAACACTTTCCTAGGTCAGAACCATCCAGTCCTGGATGTGGGGCCACATAGGAGACTGCAGTGGACATGGCTGGGCCGGGCCGAGCTGCAGTTTGGGAAGCAAACGTTGCATGTGTCCACTGTGCAGATGTGGCTGCTGTTGAATTTCAATCAGACAGAGGTGCCTTAGCTCCTTAGCCTCTCTCTGTTTTCTCTACCACCTTATCTGTAACTGTTCTGGTGCTAAACTCTTCCCCTTCCATCCTGACTGGGCCTTCTACTCCTCACCAGGAGGTGTCAGTAGAGACCTTGCTGAAGATTTCTGACCTCTCCCCAGAGCTGCTGCTCCAGGCCCTCCTGCCCCTCACCTCGGAGAATGGCCCTTTGGCCCTGCATGGGGGCTTTCCACATGGAGGTAAGTCACTGGAGGCTGGGCTGCTGATGGGAGGCCCTCAGGGTAGGAGGACTGCAGTAGGGAAAGAGAATGGGGTCCTCATAGTCCTCATTCTTCTGTCCATACCCTCCTTGGGGACCTGACTGGGAGTGGGTTTTAGGTGTGCTGCAGGTTCGTCAGTCAGGGCCTCAGCCCAGAGGGGAGGCCTTGTGGCTGATACCTCCCCAGACGTACCTGAATGTGGAGAAGGATGAGGGCCGAACCCTGGAACAGAAGAGGAACCTCTTGAGCTGCCTTCTTGTTCGTATTCTCAAAGCCCATGGGGAGAAGGGCCTCCACATTGATCAGCTGGTTTGTCTGGTAGGCAGAGGGGGCACCTGTGAAGTTGAGGGTGGGAGTGGGTCATGCTTAGAGTTGGGGATTGGAGCCAGAGGTCATCACACAGGAAAGTAAACTCCTTTACTATAAGACCTCTGTGGGGTGACCTTTTCATCTAGATTCTCTGTTCCTGATAGGACAGTCAAAAGGTAGAAATGAGGTATGAGTGTTTACCACATGCTAAGCTCTACTCTAAGTGTTTGCATGATTAGATTATTTGATCCTCATAATATTATCATTTTATCCCATTTAACAGATTAGAAGAGTTAGTAACTAAGTCATATAGCTAGTAAGTAGCAGAGCCAGGCACTGCACCCAGGTAGGCTGGCTTCCTCAGGTAAAAGTGACCTGCCTATTTCTTTCCTCCCATCCAGGTGCTAGAAGCCTGGCAAAAGGGCCCAAATCCCCCTGGAAGCCTGGGCCGTGCTGTTGCTGGCGGTGTGGCCTGTACCAGTACGGATGTCCTCTCTTGCATCCTGCACCTGCTGGGCCAGGGCTACGTGAAACGGCGTGATGATCGGCCCCAGATCCTGATATATGCTACCCCAGAGCCCATGGGGCCCTGTGGGGGTCAGGCAGACATCCCTTTGTGTGGCACCCAGAGCACCAAGACCTCAAAGCCTAGGTAGTCACCCTACCACTGTCACCTTGCAGTAAAGTGGAGGGATTGTGCCAGAGCCAGCATCCCTTGCCAAAGAATGCTTCCTTTCTTTCTTGTCGAATCCCATTTTACCTTTCCCTGTTGTTCCCTCTGTTGCTAGTCCTAATTCCTTCCCCCAGCACTATTGCCCCCTCCCATTCTTGCCAATGAAGTGCCCAGGTATCCCCATCCTTTAAGAGCCAGCCCTTAGGCAAGGGACCCAGGTACTTCAGCTCCTTTATAGATGTCTATAATTCTAAGCAAACATGAAATATTCAGCAAATATGTATTGAGTGCTAATAACTATGCACTCTGCTCAAAGTTTCAAGAAGTTTGTTCTACAGAGGAATTTGCTCTGCCCTAAAGCTTTTAATAAGAGATCCAGTTCATTGGAAGCTGTTGTGGTACTGATTTTCATGCCTGCTATTTTCATCATGTATAAAGTGAGTTCTCTAGAGTAACTTCCTACACCTCAGCCTGCAACATATCACCTGGGGTTGGAGTTAAATGCAGATCCTGATTGAGTAGAGTTCTCTGTGATAGCTGTGGTGCTTTGCTGCTGATGCACAGGCTATACTTTGAGCAGGAAGGATGTAGACTACTGTTTCTCACCAGAGGTGCCACTACTATTTCAGGTGGGACAGTCCCATCTACTGTAGGTCACTTAGCACCTTGATTCCTGCCCACTGGATACCTTTAATGTCCAATCATTGCAGCAGCCAGTTGCACCCTCACATTTGCAAATGTTTCTGTGGAGGACCATGCTTCCACAGTTGGTTTGGGTGGTTTTCCTCAGGCTGCCTAGGCAAGTGCAAGCAAGGGTGTGCAGGGAAGGGTCTGTTACACACATAAGTTGGCTGGACAAGCAGGGCAGGGGTACTGACTGCTGTCTCTTCTCTCCCCTCCAGCCCAGAAGCTGTGGCCGCCCTGGCATCTCTGCAGCTACCTGCAGGCCTCACCATGAGCCCCCAGGAGGTAGAAGGGTTGATGGAACAGACAGTGCGGCAGGTGCAGGAGATGCTGAACTTAGAAGCAGACGTGGCTCAGCACCTTTTGGCTCATTCCCACTGGGGTGCTGAACAGCTGCTGCAGAGCTACAGTGATGACCCTGAGCCACTTCTGCTGGCGGCTGGGCTGTGTGTGCCCCAGGTGCAGCCTACCCCAACACGCCCCAACCACTGCCCTATCTGTGTCAGCCCCCTGGAGCCTGATGACGACTTGCCATCACTCTGCTGCATGCACTTCTGTTGTAAGGTGAGGCTCTGCCAGCCTCTTTCCTGCCTTGGATTTTCACCCTAAAGCAATTCCTTGGGAATTCTTGGGTTCTAGCCTAGCCTGGCGGTGTTGAATAAGTCCTTTATTCCTGTTTAATTCTGTCATTTATTAAGTGGTGCCACCTGCTTTGACACTCTGAAGGGTGGTCATTAGGATCCAGTGATACATATCAGTGGGGTTTTTTTTGTTTGTTTCTTTTGAGAGAGAGAGAGTTTCATTCTATTGCCCTGGATAGGGTGCTGTGGTATCATAGCTCATAACAACCTCAAACTCTTGGGCTTAAGTGATCCTCTTGCCTTAGCCTCCTAAGTAGCTGGGATTATAGGCACCTACCACAACACCTGGTTAGTTTTTCTATTTTTAGTAGCTATGGGGTCTTGCTCTTCTCAGGCTGGTTTTGAACTCTGGAGCTCAAGTGATCCACCCACCCCAGTGTCCCAGAGTTCTGGGAGGCGTGAGCCACCATGCCTGGCTCATATCAGTGGTTTTTAAACTCTGCTGCATATTGTAATCCCTGGGAGCTTTTTTTTTTTTTGCAGTTTTTGGCCAGGGCTAGGTTTGAACCCACCACCTCTGGTATATGGGGCCAGTGCCCTACTCCTTTGAGCCACAGGTGCTGCCCAATCCCTAGGAGCTTTTATAAGATCTGATGCTCAGTCTTTACCTTAAGTCAATTAAATCAAAATCTCTGGAGGTGAAACCCAGGCATCTGGAGTTTTAAAAGTTCTTTGGGTGATTCCAATTATCATCCAAGTTTGAGAACTGATACATATATATAAAATGATATGTATGTAAAATGTATGTCAAGGCACTTTGTCAATGAGAAAGTGCTATGAGATTGATGATAACTATAGTTTTTGGTTTCCATATCACCATTCAAGTCCCCTCATCTCAGAGCAACATCACTGCTTTTATCATATATTCTCATTTAATACAAAAATAAAAAGAAGTGGTAGAGACCAGTAAATAACACAAAAGTGGAAGGGAGTTATGGGGAGTTAGGCTTGTGTCTGCACAGAGGATGCTAAGTAGGCTGGAGATGGGGAGTGAGTTTGTTCAAAGGCAGGGAGAAGCGGGTGAAGCGCAGAGAACCTGGAGTGCTGAGTGTGGTATTCTCTGCTCTTTAGAACTGGTGCCAAGCCCAAACACATCTGTTCCTTGTTGCCATGAATTCTAGCTGTCTCCCAACAGCATCTCCCCAGTGGTGGGTGATCTGGGACAGGTGCATTTGTGTGTGTGTACTCTCTTCTTCCTTTTTTCTCTGCTCCTAGTCTTCTCACATAGTTGCTTATCATCCCTTTCGCCCAGGTTCTTAATTATTTCCTTTACACTTTCCTTTCTTCATTCAACTAATATTTCTCACTGATCTGCTTTGTGCACAGTACTGGGCACTGTATGAGGCAATGAAAAATGTCCAAGCAAGAGATGATCAGAGAGTTAATAATAACAGCAGCTAATGTTTGTAGGGTTCACTGTAGGCCAGGCATCATGATGTTGACATAAATTATTTTACTTAATTCTCATAAAATTTTTATAAGGTAAGTATTTGTATTATTCCCATTATATAAATGACAGATGGAGACACTTGGGGGTAAAGTAATTTGCTCAAGGTCAGGATTTGAATTTTGGCAGTTTCACTCCAGGGCCCTCTCTGCATACTTTTATGATAAATGCAGGAAAGAAAATACAATTCGGGCTCGGCGCCTATAGCTCAACCGGCTAAGGCGCCAGCCACGTACACCTAAGGTGGCGGGTTCGAATCCCCAGCCCGACCCGCCAAACAACAATGACGGCTGCAACCAAAAAATAGCCGGGCGTTGTGGCGGGCGCCTGTGGTCCCAGCTACTTGGGAGGTGGAGGC